TTTGTAAAAAATGGGGGGGGGGGGGGAATTAAAAAAGTTACTGTAAGTCATGATGATATAGACATGACCAAGCTGAGCTCCCGTGATGATTTATAATACATACAGACGTGCTGGGAAGGGCCTGTTGCCCCCCGTCATGGGCCAGAAGAGGTCTGCTGCTTGTTAGTGTCTGCAGGACTGTGCCATTAGAAGCAAAGAAAAAAAACAAACACATGAAGAAAAAAAAAAAAAGCACAAAGTAAAAAGGTGAACCTTTGCAACATGGAGCAAATAACATACCTTGTCTCGTCACATTTTCTGCTGTGCTCAAAGCCTGACCACTCAAATCACTCACTACACTGTCCACAGTCTGATGGTGCTTTAGGAAGAATGGCAGAATGAAGCGGCTATAAAGAATCTGGGATCCATTCCATGAGAAAGGTGCCATACACCACAGCAAGAACGCACACTGCAGAGAGAAAAGGAAAAAGATGGAGACAGATACTTTAAAACATCTCACTGCAGGCAAGTGCCATTTCAGAATGAACTATATTGTATGCCACATGTAAATTAAAGGGAATGGCTTTGGTCTACAATAATTTTTGTTTATACCTTTTAAATATATTCTTCTATTGTTATTTAACATGTAGAGGGTGCATGCATGACACTTCGGGGCCAATTTATACCAGATGTCTGTTATATTGATGTCTGTTCTCGGTGATACTCTACAAGGTTACATACACCAGTCTGCATTTTATGACTTGTACATAAGCAGGGTGGAGCATGTGGTGTCCTATGGAGTTCTCTTTGCTTTAATGCAGCAGAGTATTCAGCGACTGTGGGAAAGCTGGTCACGTGACAGTTCCATGTGACCGGACTCTCACTCGAGAAAGCGTAGCAATATCTGTTTGCTTCCAGACAACCTCTCTATTTAAACTTTGTATGAAGCTATACTAAAGGGGAACACTGATCCATCATTCCTAGGATTATTATAGTTTTTTTGTAATATTGGCTTAAGATGTATACAGATTTACAAAACACACATTTGTATGTGTAACCATTTCTAAATGTACTGTCCATAAGGTGATCTGTGGATTTCTGGGCCATTTAATTTAAAATTTGCTGTTCCACCCCAGGCATTTCAAGATATTTTAATTGGACCTCCATAAAATCAGCTAATCTCATAGCGATGGGATCTGGATGGTCCAGCAAGAAATGGACCCCGACGTTAGGCCACACATGCACCATGCCTAGCAGTCTTTTACACAAAACAAACATGTGAAAGCTATATGGTGCCTGATTCGCTCATGTATGATGTAATCACTGCTTCTCTATGCAATGCAGGCAGATCTTGGCTGGTGGGAGGAGGAGGCAGGATGTACATTGCTTCCTGAAAACATAACCCATATAGCTTTCACATGTTTGTTTTGTGCCTTAGTACTCCTCTCACGGGCCCTCAGCCTGGATGCAAGCAGTAGGCTGACTCTTAGGAGGAGCCATGCAAACAAATTATTTGATAGGTGGAAAGGTAACTTCAGCATATGATGCTGAGCCTCTAGGATTGAAAGAACTGAAATCCAATGAGTGAAAAGGGCAGGTCAGGTACAGTTTGGCTGGGCAGGTAAAGGCTAAAATGAGGCTACATCATCTCCAGCAAAGAAATTAGACAACTGCTATCTGACTGCACATTGAAAACCACACAGAATTAAACAATTTCAGTACAGGAGAGAAGCCAAAAAAGGCCAGCAGAGAGCAAAGAATTGCCCGTGTCCTCCCTGCAGCTGACCCTTACCCATTTCTAAATTTACTGAGGTAGGGCTTTTTGCTTCCTCATATCAGAAGCTCCGGTGGAGGAGTACAGTAGTGACATCACCTTGGAGGAGGGGGCACCGTTTTTGCGCACATTTTGATGGGCGTCTGTATGCTCATACATGAAGACACGCATTTTGACTGGCAGCTAAAGAAACATTGCAGGCAATGGAAGAACGCAGGTTTAAACGCGCTAAAACACTCACGAAAATGTGCAACATGCTTCTGCTGCGCGTTTTTGGCCATTTCCATTGACGTCAATAGGGCAAAACACTCTTAACTGCCCAAAGAAGCTCATGTACCTTCTTGGGCGTTTGGCATTTTCCTGCTGAGTGTGAACCAGGGCCATTAAAAATCATGGGATTTCTTGTATTGGGCATTTAAAAGCACTTTTCTATTGGGTTAAAAAACACCTAGGTGTGAACCAGGCCTAAATCTCACTCCAAATCTCCTAAGACTATCAGTCAGTGACAGCAGTGCCTTACGGCTGTAAATCTGCAGTGTGAGACCCAAGTCTGTAAGCAAAGCAGTGTCTAGGCGCTCGCACATACTAGGAAGCACACTTATTTTTCAGGAAGAGTTAAAGACAAAAACTTGACATTTTTCTGAGTAGGGTTTAGTCGCAATTAAGATTTCTAAATTCTTCATATAACAGCAAATCTTTAACTTTGAGTCCCGTTCCACCTTAGGAATAGTAAAGCATTTTATAAAAAGAAAGCAATAAAAAAAATCTTCTCACCTTTCCCAAATAGTAAAATGGAAACCAGAAGAGGAAAATGTCCGAGAAAAATTCTACCAAGCTGAACACTCCATAGACCACCCAGTACGTCAGCCATATCGTGTCATCTTTTTTGTCTGGACTTTCAATGGCCTTAATTCTATAGAAGACAAATCAACACAAATACTAAACACAAATACTATACAAAATCAGCTTACAATGTCAGGTGCTCCTTTAGGTCTAGGGCAGGGCTCAAAATTTCCACTCGCCCGCTCGCATTTGGCGAGTGGAAATAAAGAGAGGGCGAGTGGAAATTCAGTCAGGCACGCGGTCACGGATCGCGTACCTGACTATGAGAGCAGCCGCTCCTTGCCGTCCTGTCCTGGCTCCGTTACTTTCGATCGATCACCGGAGCTCTGACAGTTCTGAGCCCCGTTCGCAAGGATGGATTAGTAAGGTCTGCAGACCTTACTGCAGAGAACGGAGCTCAGAACTGCAGAGCTCCGGCCGAAAATGAACGGAGCCAGGACAGGACAGCAAGGAGCGGCTGCTCTCATAGTCAGGTACGCGATCCGTGACCGCGTGCCTGACTGAATAAAGTTACAAATTTATTTTTGTAACTTTATTCTGCCTTCAACATTTAAAAGTGTAATTTCATAAGATAATTTAAGAGGGTGGGTTTAGGGGCGGAGTTAAGGCCGAGGCAGGGTTGGGGTTAGGTGGGGCAACTGGTGGCGAGTAACTCTTAAGGCCTGGCTAGTAGCTCAGGACTTGAAATTTTGAGCCCTGGTCTAGGGTATCGGGAAAAGTAGTTTTACTTACCCGATTCCCACTCCCCTGGCAGTCAGTCCCTACACTTCAGCTTTTCCTTGTCATCCTCATGTATAATGCAGGTCTATAAGCCCTGCATTGTACTTGATGACATCAACAGGCCTCCAACCACCCAGAGTTCAGCTTTAAATTACTCTAAACTTAGGAATTTAAAAAAATGCTTTCAAGTACTTTCCCTAATAAGTACATCTTATTTGTGCATCACTCAGCTGCAGATCCCCAAATCTCTGAATTCATACTGACACTGTCCTTCCTTCTGGAGGGCGAATACTTTTGTTCCCCATGGTCCCTGTGTGTGTTGTAAAGTAGTCACCGCTCCAACCTCGCGCCCATGATGGACTACAAGCTCAATAAAAATAAGTAAACTAAACGTGAGCTAAACCATCACAGGAGCAAGCTTGGAGCTGTGGCTACTTTACAACACACAGGGACCAAGGGGAACAAAAGTAGCCACCCTAAAAGAGAACTATGGGGTGAGAATTTCACTCATCCCCATAGTTGGAGCCGACGCATGACATTGAAGCTGTCACACGTCAGCTCTATTGATCGGAAGGTTATCGAAAACATACCGCTGCTCGCTTACTTCCTGATCATCTTCATGCAGAGAGCAGTGACTGTCACAGCGCCAAACAGGGATTCCCCCCCTCGACTATCCGTCTCTACAGTGGTGACTGGAGGGACAGACGGGGAAGGGGTGGGCATAGCTGGCTCTGCCTGTAGATAGGCAGAGCCCGCTGTTAATCAGCCAGCGGGGTGGATTTGGACAGTATTGTCAGGATCTGTCCCGGCTGTGGTGCTCTCAGCATATAGTGGGCAATAGTCCGCTATATACTGAGTTTTGGGTCATTGAAAGATGTTAGTATATGTCCTCCCGTGACCCTAAAGAGAACTCTGGGGGAAAATAGGTTACCCCATAGTTCTCCTTTAAAAAAAAAGGTACTCAAATGCATTTTTAAGATTTACCTCCTGAGCTTAGTGTCACTTTAAATATGTACCTTCAAGCCTTGTTCACAGCAAATGCAGAGCAGATCTGCATGAGTGAGTTTTTGGTAAAAAAAAAATATTATTTTTTTTTTAGTTTAAAATGGCCTTTCAGTGCGTTCCAGGCGTTTTTGATGCGTTTGCATGCGTTCCAGTTTTTTTATACCTGTTCTGGAACGGAACGCTGCGATGTGAACTGGAGCTAAAAATACCATTGGAATACATTGGATGCAATTTTGCTCCGGTCTGTAACTGCTCTGCGCTTGGTGTGAACAAGGCCGAAAAGGTGCCCATACACCTTACGATTATCGTACAATTTTCGTATGCGATCGACTTTTCGGCCGATAATCATATGTGTGCATTGCAGTGTCCGACCAACAGTACTGTACAATCGTACGACTATTGGTGAAGCATGTTTGAAAACTTTTCTAGATCGTACGATTTTCACAAAGGTTGCTGGCGTTTCCGTGCGTCAAAAGTCGTACGATCTACACGAAAATACGGCAAATCAATTACCGCATTTCGTCCAGGTGGTTTTCCTTAATTAATCTTGCGATCATCAGGGCAGGATGGGGCTGACCGTACGAAAATCGTACGACTATTCGATCGGACGAAAAGTTTTGTCCGATAATCGTAAGGTGTATAGGCACCTTTAGAATCATTCTTTCCACAGCTGACACAAGCATGTCAATACTTACGAAGTGTAAGCAGGATACACAAAGCCAATCAAATTGCAGATCAGAGAAGCCCCATAGCCAAATACCAGGTACAAGCCCAGAGAGCAGAGGGAGCCTAGAGAGAGGGGAAAAAAAAAAAAAAAAAGTATGAAGCAAGACACTGGTTATAGATCTTGAGAAACATGACTTGTTTCTAGGGTAAAACACTGGATTTTATCATTGAAAAAGATAAATATGTTATCTCATCTATAAAGTAGTGTTTCAAGCAAACATGATTACTCACAAATGCATGAGAAATAGGGCAGAGCCAGGCAGTTAATGCAGTGTAATAATCCTCTGTCTAGCACTGTAAGCAGCCCAGGTCCACATGATTACCACATGATTAGTGTCACCAGACAAATCAGCTCCCCCTCCCCCTCCATGGATATTTCCTGCTAACCCTTATCGGTAATGACCAATGTCTTGATGACGGCTAGAACTGTATAATGACATGTAAAGTAAGATATACTGATTATCCAGCTAAAAAGCCTGATGTCCCTGCACATTTCTGAACTTCCGAACCAAACACTGATCATTTCAGGTTAGTTCCCAATGACTGCCAGCCTTTCGAAACATACCTAGGGGGGCATGTAGACATTATTGCAATACCCTCTGTAAAACCTAGTAAATGTAAACTACATGCACATGTTTGCTAAAACACTAAATCATGGAAAACAATAGCAAAATTTGGATGGGGGCTCCCCGGCTAAATAGGTCTGTAGCAGCTGACATCGTCAACTGGGACAATATGGGGTTGAGTTATAAGCTTGGTACCAGCTGTACACTGGGCGAATGCCATTCACTATGACATTCCTGCCACAAAGTGGAGCCGAGTTCACAAGCCAATTTGGTTTTAAAGAGAGATTAATATTTGTTCATAGAGGTTGCTCTCAAACATTTTGGAAGATTTGGGACCCCTGGCTATTGGCACCTGGGTTACCTATGTTAAAGGTTCCAATTATTTTGTAAAGAGAGGTAGTAGCAGGGGATGTTTGGAAGATTTGTAATAAGAAATCCTTTTGGTTTTCGTTTAATTTTTATCTCGTTTGTTGTGCAATTTGGTTTTGTAAAAAAAAAAAAAAAGTGATTAGAAAAAAAAAAGCATGGAAAATTCCTATACTTCTCAGCTCCTTCTAGTGATGGGAATGTCATAGTGGATGGCGTGTGGCTAGGCCATAGTTTTATATACCAGTCCCTAGGTGTCATCGATCATAATATACATTGGGGGGAATTTATCAAAAGTGGAGCAGAAGACTCTGGAGCAGTTGCCCAGGGCAACCACTCAGCTTCTCTCTTCAGTTTATTCAGTTAAAATTTGAAAATGGAGAGAAGTTGATTGGTTGCCATGGGTAACTTCTCCAGATTCGGTCTGCCCCAGTATTGATAAAGTTCTCCTAATAATGCCTAAAAACAAGGAAGACCTGCAAGAGAACTGTTAGCACAGACTACTAAAAACCAGCACTTTAGATAATTGTTAGGGATGCACCGATACCAGTATCAATATCGGTGCCGATACCGAGTATTTGCCCAAATGCTCCGATACCTAGCACGAGTACTTCCTGTATCAGGAAGCCGGGCAGCGCATCATTACACACTGCCCGGGTTCTTGATTGGCCGGGAAGCGGCTCAATGCTCTCGTTACACGCAACCTGGCTTCCTGAATGGGACTTCCGTTACTCGGTAATTGGTATCGGCGAGTACCGCAAAAAATGATCGGTACTCGGTACCAAAATAGCGCTATCAGTGCATCCCTAATAATTATAATAGCAAAAAGGAGGGAGAGGGGGCCCGATTTGAGCAAGTAATTCAATTTTCCCAAATTACTTGGGAAAATTACTTCCCATATACGTGTACAGCTAGCATTAAGCATTGGGATAACACATACGTATGCATTACACTGCTGAGAAGGTGTTAAGGTTTTAGCAGAGGATATTTTTTACTGCATTAGGCATAAAATGGTTCATTTCAGTCTGTAGCAGAAGATCAGGACAATATACTCTGCAAACACAGATAAAAAAAAATACTTCTACTGCACAGAAGGGGGGGATCTGTGACATCAGCCCTTCTATACTGAAACCTCAGTTCAGTTTTCCTAATCAGCCCCCTAATTGGGCCCCCTTCTACCCCAAAGCAGCCACGTGGGCTGCTAAGGCTATTGTTACACCACATGCATTTTTTGAGTGTACACATGGCAGCTGGTGGATGATTGTACAGGCAAGCGTTAGGGCCTATGGAACACTAAAGCTAACCATACACCTTGCGATCATCGGACTAAACCTTTCGTCCGATGATCGAACCGTCGTACGATTTTTGTACGGCGGCCCCATCCTGCCTCGATCACAAGGTTGGAATCAGCGGTAATTAAAAGAAAGCACCTGGACGAATTGCAGTAATCCACCGCGCGTATTTTCATCTGCGTATGTGCAGTGTAAATCATACGAATTTTGACATATGGAAACGACACCGACCTTTGCGAAAATCATACAATTGACCAAAGTTTTCTAACCTGCTGGTTAATCAAAAGTTGATCGATCGTACACTACACATCAACCTTCGAATATCGGACAAAAACGTGATCGGCTGATATTCGTAAGGTGTATGGGCAACTAAACACAAATACAGGTGTATTGGCATACAGCGTAAAATACACCAGGGGCCCATGAAGCTACATTTTTAGTCCATAGGACTGTATGGGCAGAAAACACTGTATGTGGGTATACTGGTACACGCTAGTTTCATTTTGGGGAACTGACACCCATGGAAATTGCAGTACCGGTATTGACACATGTATAGCCTCGTACAGTGTTTCCTGTCCATTCATTCCTATGGACTTATAATGTAGCAGGGGTTCACAGGCAACACAAATAGAGGTGAATTTGATGCTGCACACTTATATGTACTCCCCTGTGCATGAGCCCCCTACTGTGTTTGGCAATATTATTAATCACCACTATACAATATCCTAAACTCTGATCTCATCATTCACTTGTTATTAAAACAGGTTAAATCAGCCAGCTTGCTCCTTACATAATCTGCCAAAAATACTACGGACTTTTTAGGATTGTAGCAAATGCATCTGACAAGGGGAGGGGGGTTGGTCAGAGGCACAGCCACCTCTCTAACGGCACCTGTCCCCCTACCCGGCATACACAGGACAGCACCGGGCACAGACGTCTCACCGGTAGCCAAGAAGTACTTCTTGACGCCAGTCTTCTGCTCCACCTTCCCCAGGAGCCGCGACACGACATTATCCCCCTTCAGGTAGTTGTTGAAACGTTCCCGTAGAGAAGTCATGGCGGAACGTCACCACCGAGGTCTTCACCTCTGAACGGCGCTCAGGATGCCTAGCTCCGGGCTGCTGACGTCATCCGCCAAGCGGCTAATCAATGAAAAGGGGCGTGCCCCCAGGTGGAGGTGAGGCTGAGGTAGAAGAGGGGAGCGCGGATGGCCCGAGCTGGACTTATGCAGCTCTGCTGGCTGTTATTACATTTCAAACGTTGGCTCCCTGTATGCATGGGACTTGTAGTTCCACAAATATGGCCACGAGCGGACAGTAACGTTTTAGGGCTTGTTCACACGAAGCGCAGAGCAGTTTCAGAACGGATCAAACTGCGTACAATATAATATAATGGCACCGTTTCAACGCCCCCCGCCCGCAGTGTGATCGGATGCGTGGCAAAATTGCCTGCGTTCCATTCCACTGCAAATGCAAAAAATGCTGCTTGCTCTATTTTTTTTGCGGTGAAACGGAACGCAGGCAAAGTTTTGCCACGCGTCAGATCCCACCTGGGGGGGGGGGGGGCACGGAAGCGGTGCCATTGACTTCAATGCATTGCCATGCCCCAGAACGCAGGGGGAAGGTATGTGAGCGATTGCGGTGCGTTCCGCAATTGGTGTGAACAAGCCCTTCAGTCTCTCTTCAGTTCGTTCAGTTAGGCTTTGAAAATTAAACAGAGAAGCTGATTGAAGCTGAACAGCTCCAGATTTTTTTTGCTCCAGTTTTTATGACTTCCCTTCCAATTTGTTTTGTCACGGATGGGTTTGGTTCATGCCACCAAAACGCAGTGGTGTGTGCTAAAAAAAAGTACGGCATGCAGTACTTTTTTTTGCAGTACAACCGCCTCGCACCACGATGTGCCTATAGAACAGCGGTTCTCAACCTGTGGGTCGCGAGCCCGTGGGGGGTGGAATGACGATTTGCCAGGGGTCGCCTGGGAGTCTCCCGCTATTAGATAGCGGCTCCCGGCCGCCCGGGAGAGAAACACTTTCTCCCGGAAAGATTTACTCTGCTCTGATCGAGCAGAGTAAACCTTTCCCTGCGATAATTTTTTCTTTTACTTTGGGGGCCGCCGGCCGCTGTAAGTCAGAGGAAAAAAAACCCACCATAGGAATGCATAGCTAGATTCCTATTGGCGATTTCACTTTGCAAAAGCCAATAGCAAACTAGCTATTGCACCCGCCCTCTGCTGCTGCCAATCAGCAGATGGGGACCTGAAGTTCTCCATCAGCAGACAGCCGCAGAGGGCGGGTGCAATAGCTAGTTTGCTATTGGCTATTGCAAAGTGAAATAGCCAATGGGAATCTAGCTATGCATTCCTATGGTGGTTTTTTTTTTATTCTGACGGCCTACGCCAATGGTTCTTAACCTGTGGGTCGCTGTGTGATTTCTGCTGTGCTAGGTGAGAGTCCTCCTCAGCCCTCTCCTAGCGCAGCAGTGCCAGTTCTCCCACCACGCCGCCAGATGTTGCTGCAGCAGCCGCGTCATCCCTAAATGTTACCGTTGGGGGGTCACCACAACTTGGCAAATGTTACCAAGGGGTCCCGGCCCTAGAAAGGTTGAGAACCACTGCTATAGAACATTATGAAATGTCACTTGTGACATTTCAGTAAAGTTCTAAAAAAAAAAAGTGTCTGTGTCTGGCTGGCAGCACTCACCAGCCGCTGTGCGTTTTGAGCTGCGGCTGGTGTGAATTGGCCCTACAAGCCTAAAAAATGTCCATGTTGTATATTTCTAGACTCTGACTGACACTATGACATAACCTGCTATAGTAGGGACCAGTGGCGACTCTAGGAACAATATATAGGGGGGGCACATAAGATACAACAGTCAAATCTGGGGGGGCACTAATAATTTTCATTGCATGTCGCAACCGCTGGGCACCAATGAGCTGATTTAATTGCGGATGGCATCGGCACCACGCGGTTGCGACATGTACTCCAACGCCGCCCACAATCCTGCATACCGCAACGGCCGGGCGCCGATGCCATTCGCAATTTAATCAAATCTCGGCGTCCGGCAGGTGCGGAATACAGCAGGGGCTGACTGGCAACTTTTAGCCCAGGGGGCAAGTACAACCCAGAGGCCCATGGTGCAGCAACTTAGCCCACCCTCCAGCTCTGCCTCTTCCCCCGCCTTCCCCCCGCCTTTGGCGCTGTGACACTGTCAGCTTCCTGGCGGGCTCGGCACGTGGAGCTGTGAACACGCCCGAGCCCATCACTAGTGAGGACTCCTAGTAAGTCCATAAAAGGGGTGACTGGCTGGGGGATGTTGTTCTCCTCCCACTGGGCCCCCTACATGGTTCTGGCCTTACTCCGCTCCATGTCCACTACTTAGGCACTCTCGCCCACTGTAGACCTCCGCTGGCTGTCCATGCGTCTGGGCTGTGAGCTGTGGGAGGGGCCGGAGAGTGTCAAAGTCAGTGTTCTATAATTTTTCTCACCCCTATACCTTCTCTCGACAGTGTCACTTCCAGTGGGGCCGAGTCATCTGAATCGGCTGTTTTCATGAATCCCTTTCTTCATGACATGCACACCTAGAAGTGACGCAGTAGAGAAATTAATGGGTTGAGGAAAGTTAGAACACACTGGTAGGGGAGGGATGCCTCGTCAGTGCTGTGCGCGTGTACGACAGCTGCGACCCTGGTACTTCTGCCACTAACTCCGAGCTGTAGAGGGACTACAAATCTCAGCACAATATATAGCAATGCAAATTAATACCACCAGCTAGAGAGGACAATAAATCTCAGAAATACATTGTACAGCATTGCAGAATTCCATCAGCTATAGAGAACTACAATTCCAAGCAATACATTATACAGTGGTGCAATGCAGAAAACCACCAATGGTAGAGGACTACAAATCCCTGCAATACGTTGTACAGCAATGCAGAATAATACAACCAGCTATAGAGGACTACAAATCCCAGCAATACATTATACAGCAATGCTGAATAATATGAAGCTACATACTCTGTGTTGCTGCAGGGTGGTGGCCTGATATCCCAAAGGTCTCAGGGGGGCAGTGTGGGGTCTCTTCTGGGGCCCTAAGGGTCTTTTGGGCGTCGAAAGCGATGTAAGCAGCACTGTGTGGTTCCCCAGGTAGGAGATGTGCAAATGTTGCTGTAAACATGCGCCACAGTTCACAGAACGTCTACTGAGGTCCCCAGCAAGCACAGGACCTCAGGCAGCCACTTTAGTTTGAAATTTTAAAGTGTCGATGTTCTATCAAAGTTTGGGACTACGTTGGAATGTATGACCAGTCACACATTTTAACGTAATTCCCTACATGGTTCTGGCCTTACTCCGCTCCATGTCCACTACTTAGGCACTCTCGCCCACTGTAGACCTCCGCTGGCTGTCCATGCGTCTGGGCTGTGAGCTGTGGGAGGGGCCGGAGAGTGTCAAAGTCAGTGTTCTATAATTTTTCTCACCCCTATACCTTCTCTCGACAGTGTCACTTCCAGTGGGGCCGAGTCATCTGAATCGGCTGTTTTCATGAATCCCTTTCTTCATGACATGCACACCTAGAAGTGACGCAGTAGAGAAATTAATGGGTTGAGGAAAGTTAGAACACACTGGTAGGGGAGGGATGCCTCGTCAGTGCTGTGCGCGTGTACGACAGCTGCGACCCTGGTACTTCTGCCACTAACTCCGAGCTGTAGAGGGACTACAAATCTCAGCACAATATATAGCAATGCAAATTAATACCACCAGCTAGAGAGGACAATAAATCTCAGAAATACATTGTACAGCATTGCAGAATTCCATCAGCTATAGAGAACTACAATTCCAAGCAATACATTATACAGTGGTGCAATGCAGAAAACCACCAATGGTAGAGGACTACAAATCCCTGCAATACGTTGTACAGCAATGCAGAATAATACAACCAGCTATAGAGGACTACAAATCCCAGCAATACATTATACAGCAATGCTGAATAATATGAAGCTACATACTCTGTGTTGCTGCAGGGTGGTGGCCTGATATCCCAAAGGTCTCAGGGGGGCAGTGTGGGGTCTCTTCTGGGGCCCTAAGGGTCTTTTGGGCGTCGAAAGCGATGTAAGCAGCACTGTGTGGTTCCCCAGGTAGGAGATGTGCAAATGTTGCTGTAAACATGCGCCACAGTTCACAGAACGTCTACTGAGGTCCCCAGCAAGCACAGGACCTCAGGCAGCCACTTTAGTTTGAAATTTTAAAGTGTCGATGTTCTATCAAAGTTTGGGACTACGTTGGAATGTATGACCAGTCACACATTTTAACGTAATCCTGCCCAGTTTTACAGCGGTGGAATGTGTGACCGCCCATCAGGTCAAGCATTCCAACACTTTGTCTGCTGTTCCAGGGCAGATCTGCTCACTGCGCATGTGCAGGAGAATCGATCTGCATTACCTAATCTGCCTGAAACTCCTGATTGGTCCTCAAATGTCAATTCTATCCGACTTTGTGAGTGCGATCTCACATTCCACCGCATTCACAAAGTCAGATAGTAGTGACATTTTGAGTGACATTTGAGGACCGATCAGATGTTCCAGGCAGATGGGGTAATGCAGATGGGTTCTCCTGCACATGCGATGCCGATGTGTCCTGGAACAGCTGACAAAGCGTTGCAATGCTTGACCTAATGGACAGTCACACATTCCACCGCCGAAAATCTAGGTGCAATTACATTAAAATAGAACACCAGTATCTGTGTTTAATATTGGGACATTTTCACGAGTATGGGTACTCATGAAAATGCCCAGTATCGGCAGAGATACCGGTATCGGTATTAGTGCATCCCTACTTTTAAGCATTCAAGCCTGGGACACTGCAAATGAGAAAAGGCATGAGGAGTTTTAATTCTGTAAACTGTAGGATGGTATTAAAGAAAATTAGCCAAAAGGAGGAACTTTATATTCCATGAAAAAAAGCCCCATAGTAAGCCCTGTCCTGCATGTCTGTAGAATAAATAATCATTAT